GAGAGTTGGGGGGGGGGGGGGGGGGGGGGGAAATGGGCATGTTTAGTCTTGAGAAAAGAAGATTGAAAGCGAAACCTGATCCCTCTTCCAGTATGTTAAGAGCTGCTATAAAGAAGACAGTGATCAATTGTTCTCCATTCTGTTGAAGGCAGGACGCAAAATACGGGTTTCAATCTGCATCAAGGGATATTTAGGTTAAATATTAGGAAAAGCTTTCGAACTATAAGGATTAAGCTCTGGACTAAGCTTCCAAGAGAGGTTGTGGTGTCCTCGCCTTTGGAAGTTTTTAAAACAAGTTGGACAAACACCTGTCAGGGGTGGACTAGGTTTACTTGGTGCTGCCACAGAGCAGGGGGCTGGATTTGGCCGCTTCTGGAGGTCTCTTCATGGCCTAAGTTTCTATGATTCTCCTGTCAAATATTTGCTCCCTCTTCAGTACATTCTTGTGCTGTTCTTTTGTTCTCATCAATTTAACAATGTTTCTACTTTTTGTAAAATTCCTTTTTGATTTTTACTTCATTAAGGAGCTCCTGATGGAGCCATATTGATCTCTTACTAGTCTTCCTATCTTTGCTTTGCAATAGTTTGCAGTTACGCCTTTATAATATTGTCTCCTGGAGGAACTGCCAGCTCTCCTGAACTCCTTTTTCTCTTAGATTTTCTTCCCACATGAACTAACCTATCAGTTCCCTGAGTTTGCTCAAGTCTCGGGTTTTTTAAAGTCCATTATCATTATTAGGGATGTAAAATCCCATTAAAAAAGTTAACCGGTTAAATCGTATGTTTAGCCAGCTAACTGGGATCCTGCAGCGGAGGGTTTCTCTAGCCAGGTCTTCTATGGGTGTCAGTGGGGGCTGGGCCTGCCAGTTAACAGGTTGCCCTGGTAAGTATGCTGGTAAGGGGTAATCCTTTACATCCCCAATCCTTATTCTGCTGCTCTCATTCCTTTTCCTTAGAGCAGGGGTTGGGGGCCACTGACCCACAGAAAAATCAGTCGGAGGCTGCACACAAGTGAGAAGCAGCAACAAAAAAAACCCCTCTGATGTTGGCCCTGACTGAGGAGAAAGACACTCCCCACATGCCCCTTGCACACCAGAGCCTAGTGGGGCCCAGCCTAGTAGATTCTGTGTGCTCCAGCACTGGGGAGCAGATGAGGGGGGCTGGAGCACCTGTGAGCCCTGAGCCTCAGGGACCAGATCCAGGCCCAATCCGGCCCTCAGGGCTAGGTTCCTTACCCCTGCCTTAGAATCATAAAATCTTATCATTTCATGACCACTGTAAACCAAATTGCCTTTCGCTTTCAGATTGACTACCAATTTCTCTCTGTTGGTCAGAAGCAAGTGTGAAATGGCTGTCTCCCTGGTTACTTCCTCCATTTTCTGGAACAAAACATTGGGCTCTTGCATCTAGCAGGCAAAGGTATTACAAGAGCCAGTGGCTGGCAGTTAGGGTTGCCAGGCCTCTGGTTTTGGACCAAGAATGCCTGTTTGAAAAGAGACCTTGGAGGCTTCAGTTGTCCCTGCTGCCAACCCGACTTAACAGCCCACTTGACACAGTCTGGGCTCGGGGCTAAGGCAGGCTCCCTACCTGCCTTAGCTTTGTGAAGCTCTTGGAAGGGCCCACCTGGTCCCTGCGCCTCCTAAGCGCAGGGGGCCCTGCCCGCATGCTGCCCTCTCACCCACAGCTCCCGTTGATCACCGTTCCTGGCTCATGGGAGTTGTGGGGTTGGCACCTGTGGCACCAGGGAAGTGATGGAGCCTCCCTGCATAGGCACCAACTTCAGATTTCCTGAGGGGTGCTCGGCCTCCACTCTGTCCGAGGCCCTGTCCCTATTCTACCCTTTTCCTCCACTTGCCCCGCGCTGCACCGCCCCTCCTCTGGGGGTGCCCTGTATTCAATAGGTGCTTCCCTGTAACAGGCAGGGGTGGGTGGGAGAGGGACAAGAGCTAAAGCAGCATTGGGCAACTTAGGCTAGTGAGTGGGCTGGAAGATTATCATCACCAAGAGGGTCTCCTGGGATAGGGTGGTTTCGCTAACTGCACTGGTTTACGTAGAGTTTGTGGGGTGTGCGAAAGCATCCATAGTGGTATTCTGATGGGATGCAGAGACTCATTGTTGTGTGCAAACAGCACCCATCTTGATTCGTGTGCCCTGGCTTTACGTGTGGGTCACTTTTAGTAAGTCCAGTAGGGAATAAAACTCTGCAGATGGATCAAGAATCTGGCAACCCTGCAAGTGGGTAATGGTAAACACAATGTATCATGAGCCATACATAGAACCCTGATGGGCTGCCGGGCCGCTGCTCTAAAGGGCAGGTATGTTCCCTTGTCCTCTCATGCTCAGCTAAGGGTCCGTCGTGCTCTCTCCACCCCATGATAACAGTGAGGGAGGTGCTTTGTCCTCCTGCTGCACATCATCCCTCTCTCCCCTCCCCAGCTTGTCCTGTTGGGCACGACTCCAGGCATGGAGCAGGAAGGAGCTGCTGTGCAACCTTGCCTGGCAGCTGGCTGGGGAGGAAGCAGCTTCTGCTCCCTGCCTCAGGTGGGTCATCTCCCCAGTCAGGATCAGGCAGCTACTGGCCAGAGCTGCTGGAAGGAGCTGGGCTGACTCTTCCACTCCTAGCATCTGGGCCATGTGTCTCACAGGCCTGCCCCTGCCCTGCCTCCTGCTCCTCCCCCACCAGTGCCCCCTGTCCACCACCATCAACTGTTTGGCAGTGTGCAGGAGGCGCTGGTGGGGAGACAGGGATGAGCGGATCATGGGGGACCCGTCACTGGTGAGCAGCATGGTGGGTGGGGAGGGAGGCCCTTCAGTGAATGCTCAGCACCTTCTACTTTTTTTTTAATGCTGCCCTGTGCCTATAGGCTGCAGGGACCTGGTGGCCACTTCCTGTGGGCCGCGGCAAATTTGCCCAATTCCGAACCTCCTGCACCAGCTTAATTTCCTTCCCACACTCAGACTCTCACAGTCGGTGTCCCCCGCACCTGAGCCCCCTACCCCAGTACTCAGCCCTTCCTGTACCCAAACTCCTTATTTCTGGCCCCACCCAAGAACGTGCACCCCCAGCCAGAGCCCTCACCTGCACCTCAATCCCCAGTCCTTGCCTTGACCCTCCCCCGAACTCCAAACCACTCATACTTTGCCCCCCCCCCGAGCCTGTACCCCTAGCCAGAGCCCTCATCTCTGTCCCACATCCCTAACCTCCTGTCTCGGCCTGATGAAAATGAGGGAGAGCGAGAGATGGAGGGAGTGGCGATGGAGCGAGTGGGAGTGGGGCCGCAGGGCATCGGGGTAGGTGATAGGACATGCGTGTGAATTTTTTTCCTCACGACACATGGGCATGTCTACACTCGCAGCTTCTTGTGGCAGAAATATGCAAATGAGGCTAAGCGTGGAATATCGCCGAGCCTCATTTGCATACCGAATGAGCCGCAATATGCAAATGAGGCTGTGTGGAATATCGCCGAGCCCCATTTGCATACCTAATGAGCCACCATTTTTGCAGAAGAGGCTCTTGCCCCTTCTTGCACAACAGAAACCCTCTTGCGCAATGCTGTTACGCCGATTACTTTTCAGGAAGAACGGTATTGCGCAAGGGGGTTTCTGTTGCGCAAGAAGGGGCAGTGTAGACTGCTCCTTCTGGCGCAAGAGCTTCTTCTGCGAAAATGGCGGCTCATTAGGTATGCAAATGAGGCTCGCCGATATTCCATGCTTAGCCTCATTTGCATATTTGTCACAAGAAGCTGCGAGAGTAGACAGCCATGACGACTTGTATGTTCAACTCTCATTTGGTAAGGTTCAGGGATCTAAATTTCAGCATGTGGAATTAGAAGTGGGTGTGTGGAGACCAGGGAGGGGAGGAAAGTTGCTCCTTTTGAGGCTGTTTCTGTAGCTAGGGCTGCCAACAGAGAGGAAAGGGGAGGCAAACCGGCAGCTGCCCCAGGGTCATGTGATTTAAAAGTTTTTGTCTGCTGCTACTGTGGCAGCAGCTGGAATCCCAGCCCTTTTAAATTGCCACTGGAGCCCCAGACAGCTCTGAAGGGCTACCTAGAGAAGGCTAGCCCCTGGCCCCACGCCTTCCACCTGAGTCCCCATCCCTTCTGGGGCCTAGGAGCCCAGCAATTCTGTGAGCAGCCCTGGCCTCGAGGTAGACTAATGTAGTAATTGCCATGTGACATCAGACTTGTTTGTAAAAGCCGCTTCTTAACTTTACTGCAAAGGTCTGATCTGAGACTAATTTGGCATCTACATTCAGCTCCATGAAAACATCTGCAATCAAAATGACAAGAGAAGCACAATTGGTTTTTCCTTCAGTGCTTTTTGCATGATAGGACGCTGATTGCCAAATGCAATCTGCAGCAGCCACCATGGCCAAATCCCAGAGTTTACTGAACACCCAGTAGTGCAGAGCTTGCTATCTTGGTTAGCTGCTCGTATGATGATCATTCGCTTGTCCTCTCCTGGCGCGTGTGCTTTGAAATGGATCTGGCTGATGCTTGGAGCCTAGTTTAAGCCCGAACAATGTCAGACAAAAGGGAAGTTGTTCAAAAGGAGATAGACTTTGCAAAGGGAAGCTGTCAGCTGGCACCTCCTGCAACTGCACCGCTCACTTTCGTGCCTTCCAAACAACTTCAGAGTCTGCGTCTCTTTCCGCCTGTGCTGCGGAAGCATCTTCCGAAGGTTGCAGGGACTCTGGTGCCACTAAAAGTAGCATTTTAAAAATAAGTTGCTTTTCTAAATTGCTGCTTCGCTTTGGAAGTCACTTACGACACGATTAAAGCATTAGTAAAGGTGCTGCAGGGATCAAATCTGACCTGGTCACTGGACAGGAGTTCTCAAACTTCATTGCTCCCCTCCCACCCTTTACTATGTGTCCTCAAGAGTGAGGACAGAAGCCTGAGTCTGCTTGAGCCTTGCCACCCTGGGTGGGGAGCAAAAGTCACAGCCCTATTGTCATGGATGGGGGGGAGGAAAAAGGGGGGAAAAGCGCCTGGCGGGGGGGGGAGGCCTGTAACTAGGGATGTGAATGACTATTGGATAGTCGACACACTAGTCCATTAGTCCCTTCCCCCCCCTTGCTGCCTCTATCAGAAAGAGGCAGCACGGGGAGGGGGGCAAAAGAGGGGGTGCTTCAAAGCAGCAGTGCTGCTTGAAGCCTGGGGTCAGACCCTGAGCTCCATGCGGCACTGCCACTTTGAAATACTGCGGGGAGCATGGGGCCAGCGGGGGCTGCTTGAGTCCCCCACTGGTCCCATGCTCCCCGCAGTGCTTTCAGCCTCGGGGCTGTTGCTGCACTTCAAGAGTGGAGGCACCCCTAAACTAATCTAATAGTCTATGCAAATTAATCTAAATTTAACATCCCTACCTGTAACCTGAGTTCTGCCACCCAGGGCTGAATCTTTAGCCCCAGCAAGTCTAACACTAGCCCGACAATCCCATTAAAACAGAGTCGTGACCCACAGGTTGAGAACTGCTGCCTAGATGATCCAGGTCTCATCCTTTCCTGGTGATTCTTAGATGCTGGATGAAGGCAAAGTTCCTGTGACAGTGACTCTAAGTTTGACATGAGACCTTCTTGTTCTCCAGGTGCCTGAGGAGGTGAGCCATGGTGGGCAGGAGAACCAGACATCCCCAAGAAGTAATCAGCAAGCACCAGGCAAACCTGTCCCACCTAGATGCTGTGCCCCAAAGGATCAGCCCATTCAGAGAGTGTGACATCAGCCTGGAGGTGTTCAGCAAATCCACCCCCGAACTCAAACAGAGCCGCAAGCTGGCACAGCAAGTGTGGGACAGGAGAGCCCACAAAGCTGACCTTAGAGACTCCAATGGGAGGGAGGCAGAAACAATTACTTTTATTTCTGGCACAGCAGATGCTCCCCAGCCCCAGAGCTTGTGCTGTGTGTCTTTGTCTCACGCCTGGAATGCCTCCAAGGCTGTCCTGTGCTGTATAGTGACCTGTGGGGGCTGCTTTAAGAACTGCAGCGTTCATCTCCCCTGCCTGGGGCACACTGAGACTGTGACTGACGAGGGAAGAAACAGGGAGCAAAATGGACGTGTGCCAAACAGCAGCCCTGCCAACATCTCCCCCATTGAAAAGAATGGGAGCCAGATCAAAAAGAGCACAATAGGGAGCAGCTTCAGCTACCCAGATGTAAAATTGAAGGGGATCCCTGTCTATCCGAACCGGAGCCCTGGCATCCCCACAGATGCAGATTCATGCTACAAAGAGCCCCTGCCAGAGAAGCACAGGAACAGCATAGAAAAGCCACCTCTGTCCAGCAGCCACCGGAGCTCGGAGGAGTATTATTCCTTCCACGAGTCTGATCTGGACCCCAGTGAGCTCAGCAGCTCTATGTCCAGCAGAGAGATCGATGTCTTGATCTTCAAGAAGCTGACAGAACTCTTCAGCGTCCACCAGATTGACGAGCTGGCCAAGTGCACATCGGACACGGTCTTCCTGGAGAAGACCAACAAGATCTCAGACCTGATCAACAGCATCACGCAGGACTACAACCTGGACGAGCAGGATGCCGAGTGCAGGCTAGTCCGAGGCATTATCCGCATCAGCACCCGGAAGAGCAGGGTCCGGCCCCACATTTCCATCCCAGCCACCAAGAGCCATGAGGAGAAGGCGAGCAGAGGAAACCCACCAGACAGTGGTAATGAAACCATGCTGGAGTCCCTAATCCCCAGCCAAGACGGTACGTCAAGTCCCCTGTCCACAGTAGTTTTGCAGCTCAAATCTCTGTGTTTGAGACCTGGGTTCACCTTAGCATAGGGAGACTCCAGACTTAGAACGCCTGCAGGGATGGAGTTGGGAACTTGTAGCTTTCAAGGTTATTTTCCTGAGTTGAAGGAATCCTCGTTCCCTGCCACTTAATACTTTGACTTCCCCCAACCCACTTTGCAGCTATTATCCTTCTGTGTAACACACCACACTTTGCTCTGCCAGATGAGTGATGTAAGGTGTGGCCCTGCTGGCTCTGCAGTAGTCCTGACTCTCCTCCTTAACCCCATCTTAGGAAGCGAGGCCATGAGTCAAACTCAGGTCACTGGCATGATCAGATCTGCCACTTGCCAGAGCACATCCACTAAGGCTAGTAAGCTGGCTGCCTTCTTTAAGTTTTGACCAATGTTGTTCTGGGATCCTGTTTACCTCCTGATGGTTTCTTCCCCATGCCTCATTCTCTAGCCAAAGGAGTTTCCATTTCTCTGCCTGTAGCATGAAGGAACTTTCCCAACCCCGTAAAAAATCTGAATCCGTTGTTGTCTATCAATAACCTTGGAGAGATGGCTGCGCATGGAGTGGTTTCACCAGGTTAATTATCTAATCTCTTTGGGTGCGTCTAAGTTGCGCTCTAAACTCGAAATAAGATGCACAAATTGCATATCTTATTTCGATTTTGAAATAACCTATTTTGAAATTTGGTGCATCTACACAATGCCAAATTTCGAAATAATCCACTATTTCGAGATATCCCTTAAGCCTCATAGAATGAGGGTTACAGGGATGTCAAATAGCATTCCCATTATTTTGAAAAATATTTTGAAATAATGTATGTGTTTAAAAGATTCAGGGTAGCTAGTTTGGGATGCTGGAGGATACTGGGTTTTGGTTCTGTTTCTGGAAATCCTTTCCTTCCCCCACTCTCACCCTTACCTTAGACTCCAGTAGAATACCCTATATGCTCCCAGACTTCTGGACTGCACATTGAGATCAGTCACTAGCTTTTCCCATATCCTCCTGCTAACTCTTAGATGTTAGTTACTTCCAAGTATCTCAAATGCTGCCTCCCTCTAAAAGAAAAGGAGGAGCTGCTGACAGGGTATGAGGGCCTCTGTCCTTGGAATGTGCCACCCCTCCTTGTCTAGGTACCTAAATCTGCTAACCTGCAGGGCATACCACAGGGCATACCAGTTTAGGACTCTTGAAGAAGCAAATATTGTTGGGTGTGATGGACTGGTCTCTTTTGGGGCTCACGGATGATTTAGTTATACGTTTGCCATATTTAAATATTTTGTCAGCGTCGTTAGAATGTTTCCCCAATCTAAAGAATAAAGAAGTAGCAAGCTTAGCCCTGATACACAAATGAGTGGCTATTAAGGGAGAGCTTGATACGTTGGCTGGCAGGGCTCTGCACATGGGACCAAAAACACTTTCAGTCCTTCCTGTCTCAGGACTTCTGAATTTTCTTTTCAGAGTTGGATGTGCAGATATCGGAGGAAACCACGGCCGATATGATAGCCAGGAATATGAGGCGGTCCAGTGCTGCAGGTAACATGCCTGTCTTGCTCATAGTCAGTGAGAAAACAAAGGCTACAGCTTTTCCAACTCACATCTGTGACTTTGAGATGTGGCACTTCCTGTAGAGAGGCTGTTTCCTTCCTGGGGAGGACACAGGAGAGTTCCCAGATATACTTGAGGGATGAGGGGGTTTCTCAATCTCCCACACTGCACTTGGCCTCAGTTCCCAGTCTGTAAAACAAGAATAGTGCCCACCGTTTGGAGTGTTGTGAGGCTTACGGCTGGACAAAAGGTGCTATAGAAATGCAATGTGGTGGTGGTGAATCTGTGTTCAAGCCTTATGATTGGAGGGGTCTCAAATGGACCACAGGCCATTAATGGTCCAAGCAATTTGGCCTGGGAGTCTTGTGGGTGGGTGGGGTGTCTCCGTCCCTGTCCTCCAAGCCCTGTTCCTTCTTGACACTGCCTTCCCCTCCCACCCCATTGCACTCCTTCCCGCGAGGGACGTGGAGGGGAAAGGGTGCAATGGGGGTGGAGGATAGGGTAGGGGCAGGGTTTGGGGGACAGGTACCCTGGTCAGACTGAGAAAATGCTTGGGCTATCAATGGCCCATAGCCAGGAGTTTGAGATGCCTGTTCATGGTGTTTCTCATTTAGATCTTCACTGGTGCAAAAGGGAATGAACCAAAGATCAGATTTTATACACCCTCCCATCTCTCTCTTCCCCCCCCCCCCACGCACACACTTCTCCTGGGGACTGAGGTCAAGCCTGAGGGCTTTCAGGGCCCTAACCTCTTGACAAAGTTTGAGGGGAAGTGAAACCATAGTTAGGATGGGATTTTTTGGACTCAAGTCTGAGGGTAAATGACAGTGAAGTGAAGCAGCAGGGGAGAATTATTTACCAGCAGGTGCCTTGGGCTCTGTTGCTTTCCCATGTTGCTTTTAATGTTTTGCATCAGAGAGCAGCCTTGAGCTGAAATACTAGTGTGTGTGTGTGTGTGTGTGTGTGTGTGTGTGTGTGTGTGTGTGTGTGTGTGTGTGTGTGTGTGTGT